GTCTCTTGGCTTGTAATAGAATGTGACATGTATGATGGTATCTTGGCCTGTAATATAATTAGACATGTATGCTGGTCTCTTCGGATGTAACAGAATTTGACATGTATGTTGGTCTCTTCGCATGTAATAGAATTAGATATGTATGCTAATCTCTTCGGATGTAACAGAATTTGACATGTATGTTGGTCTCTTCGCATGTAATAGAATTAGATATGTATGCTAATCTCTTGGCATGTAATAGAATTAGACGTGTATGCTGGTCTCTTGGCATGTAATAGAATTTGTCATGTATGCTGGTCTCTTGGCATGTAATAGAATTAGACATGTATGCTAGTCTCTTGGGATGTAACAGAATGTGACATGTATGATGGTCTCTTGGCATGTAATAGAATGTGAAATATATGCTGGTCTCTTGGCATATACTATAATTTGCCATATATGCTGGTATCTTGGTACATAACAATTTGACATGTATGTTGGTCCCTTAGCATGCAATAGAATTTCATGCTAGTCTCTTGGGATGTAACAGAATTTGACATGGATGCTGGTTACTTGGCATGTTATAGCATTTGACATGTATACTGGGCTCTTGGCCTGTAATAGAACTTGTCATCTATGCCACTGTTTTAGCATTTAATAAAATAACATCTCTTATGAAATTTAACATGTATACTTGACTGTTAGCATGTAACAGGACTTTTCTAAATATAACAAGATTTTACATTTTGGCTGTCATCTATACTGGAACAGGGCATGATTTGACATGTACACTAAATTAAGACAGAAGTGACACCATATTACATATGTCGCAAATGCCTAGGCTGGTCATCTTATCATTGGTGCCTAAGCTTGTATGTAATCTTGTCACTGATCTGTAGGCTAGTAATCTACTGGTGCCAAGGCTTGTGATCTTTTCACTGGTGCCTAGGCTTATAATCTTTTCACTGATCTCTATGCTAGAAATCTCTTTACTGGTGCCTAGACTTGTGATCTTTTCATTGTTGCCTAGGCTTATAATTTTTTCACTGATCTCTATGCTAGTATTCCCTTTACTGGTGCCTAGGCTTGTGATCTTTTCACTGGTGCCTAGGCTTATAATCTTTTCACTGATCTCTATGCTAGAATCTCTTTACTGGTGCCTAGGCTTGTGATCTTTTCACTGGTGCCTAGGCTTATAATCTTTTCACTGATCTCTATGCTAGTATTCCCTTTACTGATGCCAAGGCTTGTGATCTTTTCACTGGTGCCTAGGCTTATAATCTTTTCACTGATCTCTATGCTAGTATTCCCTTTACTGGTGCCTAGGCTTGTGATCTTTTCACTGGTGCCTAGGCTTATAATCTTTTCACTGACCTCTATGCTAGAATCTCTTTACTGGTGCCTAGGCTTGTGATCTTTTCACTGGTGCCTAGGCTTATAATCTTTTCCCTGGTCTCTATGCTAGAAATATCTTTACTGGTGCCTAGGCTTGTGATCTTTTCACTGGTGCCCAGGCTTATAATCTTTTCACTGATCTCTATACTAGTATTCCCTTTACTGGTGCCTAGGCTTGTGATCTTTTCACTGGTGCCTAGGCTTATAATCTTTTCACTGACCTCTATGCTAGAATCTCTTTACTGGTGCCTAGGCTTGTGATCTTTTCACTGGTGCCCAGGCTTATAATCTTTTCACTGATCTCTATACTAGTATTCCCTTTACTGGTGCCTAGGCTTGTGGTCTTTTCACTGGTGCCTAGGCTTATAATCTTCTCACTGATCTCTATGCTAGAAATCTCTTTACTGGTGCCTAGGCTTGTGATCTTTTCACTGGTGCCTAGGCTTATAATCTTTTCCCTGGTCTCTATGCTAGAAATATCTTTACTGGTGCCTAGGCTTGTGATCTTTTCACTGGTGCCTAGGCTTATAATCTTTTCGCTGATCTCTATGCTAGAAATCTCTTTACTGGTGCCTAGGCTTGTGATCTTTTCACTGGTGCCTAGGCTTATAATCTTTTCCCTGGTCTCTATGCTAGAAATATCTTTACTGGTGCCTAGGCTTGTGATCTTTTCATTGGTGCCTAGGCTTATAATCTTTTCACTAATCTTTATGCTAGAAATCTCTTTACTGGTGCCTAGGCTTGTGATATTTTCATTGGTGCCTAGGCTTATAATTTTTTACTGATCTCTATGCTAGTATTCCCTTTACTGTTGCCTAGGCTTGTGATCTTTTCACTGGTGCCCAGGCTTATAATCTTTTCACTGATCTCTATACTAGTATTCCCTTTACTGGTGCCTAGGCTTGTGATCTTTTCACTGGTGCCTAGGCTTATAATCTTTTCGCTGATCTCTATGCTAGAAATCTCTTTGCTGGTGCCTAGGCTTATAATTCTTTCACTGATCTCTGTACTAGTATGCTCTTTACTGGTGCCTTGGCTTGTGATCTTTTCACTGGTGCCTAGGCTAATAATCTCTTTACTGGTGCCTAGGCTTGTAGACTTCATTGTGCCTAGGTTAGTAATCTTTTTACTTGCGCCTAGGCTAGTTATTTAGCACTAGTTTCTAGGCTAGTAATCACTTTAGGCGTCTCTAGCCTTGTAATTAAGAAACATCCTATAAGAATATATACGTTGGGCACAGTGATGATTATATGGTCTGTATAATGTAAATTTTGAGGCAACAAAAACATAAAATGATATTGCTGACAGGTTTTGCTTGAAATAGTTAATTTCCATTAGCATCTTTGATTGAATTAAGCAGAACAGGTGATAATTATTGATAATGGAAGTAAAAAGGTCAATTTTATAAGCAGTAGTTTCACTGCTTTACCTCAGTTATTATGATGTGCTTAGTTCAACAATTGCTTGTAAAATTGTGAGAAGAAAACCTCACAAACAAACCCCAGTTTAATAGTCAGATAAGCTCCTGAGAAGCATTCACATTTGACAAATAAATAAACTTTTGGCCAATTTAAATGCATTTTAAAATTGTGCCATTGTTTATATCACATTATTTAATAAACTTGTATTAGTTTTTGCATTCTCATCCGAATACACCTTGTAAAAATAATCAAAGAAAGCTTAGAAAGAACTCCCGTGTGCTGAGAGTATTGAAGACACATTAAAAATTACTTGTACATGAGATATTGATGGAAAAGCTGAAAACTAATTATGTAAATCAGGTAACTAATATGAACAGAACAGAACAAAAAACTTATTAAAAAAATTTCATTAAAATCCAATTTGTGGTTCTTTATATATCAGTGGAACATTATGCAAATTAGGTAATTAATATCCAATTAAAACTAATCAGGTGTCTGCATAATCCTAGGATATCTATGTAGCAAGTCTCATTGAAATATGATGATTACTACTTGATATACCAAAAGCTGAAAATTAATTAATTATGCAAATTAGCTAATTAATATGTACTCATATTACCCTAAAAACTATCAGGTCTGTGCAGTGTCCTATGACATCTATGTACCAAGTGTCATTGAAATGTGATGATTACTACTTGAAATATCAAAAGCTGAAAATTAATTAATTATGCAAATTAGCTAATTAATATATACTGATATTACCCTAAAAACTATCAGGTCTGTGCAGTGTCCTATGACATCTATGTACCAAATTTCATTGAAATGTGATGATTACTACTTGAAATATCAAAAGCTGAAAATTAATTAATTATGCAAATTAGCTAATTAATATGTACTGATATTACCCTAAAAACTATCAGGTCTGTGCAGTGTCCTATGACATCTATGTACCAAATTTCATTGAAATGTGATGATTACTACTTGAAATATCAAAAGCTGAAAATTAATTAATTATGCTAATTAGGTAATTAATATGTACTCATATTACCATAAAAACTATCAGGTCTGTGCAGTGCCC